AGGGGGGGGGGGGTAAAATACGGAAGAGCTATACCTTTTTATGTTGAGTTCTATGCTACATTTACAAGTTTTATTGTAGGAACACACAATGAGTGGAATGTATCAAAACTGGAGCAGGCAAAATCTGGAGCACTTGCCTATGACAATCAGCTTCTCTCTTCCGTTTGTTCAGTTAAGCTTTGAGAATGAAAGGTGGATGCTGATTGGTTACCATGCACAACTGCTCCAGATTTTGTCTGCTCCAGTTTTGATAAATTCCCCTCATTCTGCTTTCCTACAATAAAACTTGTAAATGTAGCATAGAACTTAACATAAAAGGGTATAGCTCTTTGGTATTTTACTTAGTCAGCTGCTTATAGTGTATTACTGCAATCCATATTATGAAACAAACAAATAATACATTAGGTATTTTCCAAATATACCATAATATTTGTCTAATGCATTCGTTTTCCATCCAATACTACTTGATCACTAACACTAAGAATCTATATACATCCATCTTTTTAATACTGAAAAACAAAACACCCACATGAATAAAAAGCTAAATAAACTTCTGAGCATAATCATAAAAGTCATTGTACAAAGTAAAACCACATAATTAAAACACTGATGACAAATTACCATTAATCAACCTTAGCAGCAGAATAATTACAAAAATATGTTACAAAACTTAATGCCATTAATTGATATAATATTACAAAATATGTCTGGCAACATACAATATCCACTAAATGCGTGTCTCATACAAAAGGATTGTTGCATCCTATATTTTTCCCATTAAAAAAAAAAACAAAACACAATTTTATAATATATAACTATGAAATTTTCCCCAACAGGACTGTATGAAATTAGACTTGTTCTTATTTGCTTCCTGCAGGAAATCCTTGCAAGTCATGGGAATGTTGATGGTGTTGCCCATAACAGATTCCTCTTTTACTTTTGTAGCACAAGACAAAAAAAAACCCTGAGTGGTCGCAAAGTGATTCAATGACAATCAAGCGCCTTGACAATTTAGAAACTTTTGAAATGTTACAGTTCAGTTTTTGCAAACCCTGGTTCACTTGCATCACTGTGAATTTAGTCTTGGAGGGTGTCAACCTGTCAGATTTTTAAATGTTAACTCATCTGTTCAGACCATGATAACCAGAAAATCTTTGACTGTCTGAATCTGCGAGACATATAATAAACTGACAAAAATCTTAAGTCTGTGCTACATAAAATGACTGAAGTTGGCAAGCTAAGTAAACCTTGGGCTCACTGTTCTTCTATGATATGCTCTCATCTTTCTGTATAACAGTGAGTTGTACTCAGATTTTTACACACTGATGAAATTTATACAAAAAAAACTTAACATATTAACCACATGCCTTATAAAGTAATTTTTACTTAGCAAAGTTGGGTATCTAGCTCCTGAAATTATAAAAAAATGAAACCAGCTTACATGCATTATGTGCATAAGTTTAAGCAATACAGAAATTACAGTCTACCACATTCTATAGTTAAAAAAAAAAGTATACTAAAAAGCCTTAAAGCTGTATTAAACAATTATATTATTAGCCCAGTTTTGTAGGTCTGAAGGTTGGTGGACCTCTGAATGATAATCAAAACACAATATACATTGGCTGAAATATTATTTTAACATATTATGAGACAGAAATTCTATAGCTCATACATAATTACATATCTCCAGTGGGTTTTTTTCCCCCGCAGCATCTCTACTTTGCAACACGCACACTCACTCACTCACTCACTCACTCACTCACTCACTCACATTTTCCAAAAGGCTCATGCTTATTTCTCTCAGTTCTTTCACAGATTTTCAATTTTTAGGAATGTTTGTAACATTGTAAACATATGTGGAAATATGATCAAAGAAGAGTTTATTACAAACCTAACTGGCCAGCTTTTCAAACAAATATTCAATAGAGGGTCTGATGCCAATCAACCAGTTGTTAACTCTTACATCTTCAACATTTTGTGGTTCCTTGGTGGTGGAAAACATTAAAACTCCTTCAAGTGTATACCAGCTCTATTTAAATGTGTATAGCAGGGTAGTGCAGATTTATACTAGACTAACATGATGGTAAAGGCAGGAATGCATTGTTTAGTGTTGGCCATGTCTAATATTGGTGTTATGGTATGGTACCCACTGGAATGAGAAAAGTATTATTAGCACCATGAGTAAGAATTTAATACTTTAATCTTATTTACTTTTAGATTGACCACTAAAATATTGTGCATGTTTTGAATTACTCTGGAATATAACAAAAAAGCACAGTAGCCCATGATAACCACCAATATAAGTACGATAAATTTAAATCTGGTAGTTGTGGGTTACTTAACGTTTCATATCACCATTACTGTTTACTGCCTTTCTAAAAAGGATTATAGTGTCCACAAGTATATAAATATAAGTTGACTTAAAACATGTCTCACACTTTCAAATAGTATATTCAAAATATATACAGGTTTTACATATAGTTTTGATTTTTGTCCTCTGTAAATTTTACAGCTCCAGCAATTGTCTAGTTTCATCTGCTTCACCATTATAATATAATTTTTATGTAATTAGTTTATGTAGCAGAAAAATCAAGGGATATTTGTTTATGTCAAGTATAACAGGATCTCATTCTATCGCTACTGTTAACGAAAAGTTAGGCTGATGGATCAGTTCATGCCAAGTCACAAGAAACAACATTTGGTTCAATGAAGGGGAGTGGTTTTCTTCCCTCCTGGGAAGTATACCACCTCCGTAGCAATAAAATCTTTTAGGACCCCAAAAGCACCTGACATCAATAGTACATGCAATTTCAGAAATTAGCAATGACTTGTATTCCTTTGGTCTTTCAGAAAGAAAAATACAAATAAGGATATATCTCAAGAACACGAGGAAAGGAAATGGAATACACAACTCCTGTCCAGAGAAACCCTGTTATTAACATTGGATATTTTTCTCTTTACTCGATGTTAGGCTATGAGGAACAAAAAAAATCTTCAAGTACGATTAATTATAGATTTCAATTGTACCTTAATATAAACATCTATTTTTAATCAGACTTCCATAATTAATATTCCCATTTACAAAACTCTGAGGTTGTATATTTTTATCTGTTATGTGTGGACAAAAAGTGGGGTATGTCAAGAGGACAACTCATACCACTTGACTGTCCTCTTGATCACCACATCCCTTCATACATTGATGGTTTCCATGGCATTTTAAAATATTGATGAAGGCATTCTCCAAAGCTGTCCATTGAAACTAAGAATAACAAACAGAGGTAAGTCCAGTTCACATATGAAGGATGGGAATGACCAGATAAGCAGCATTTGTGCCTCTCACATGCATGTTTCACTACTGGGGTGTTTCTGGATGTCATTCTCTGTGTAGATAAGTTGATAGGACTTCTCACTCTCCTCTAGAACAGAGTTTCCCAGCTCAGCATCTTGTTTTTGCAGTTCATGTCTAGAAAGGTGTTCAATAATGCCAGCTCCTAAAGAATCCCCTAAGACATTGGTGGTTGTGCGGAGACGATCCCTAGAAAACATAGCAGAAAGAAGCTTAATGGAAGTACAATGGACATACCAAATTACATTCTTCAATTTCTTCTTTAATCATGTCTAGCCACAGGTACCCACTTTTTATTTTTTTAATCCATCTATTCTACTTTTCTTTGCAGGGGTGTAAAGAACTGTTAAAATTTATTTCACATGAGCATTGCTTTGAATTTTGTTTTTTTACAAACATTTTCAAAAATGATGACCAATTAATAACAAAAACAAACTCAGAACCTAATTATTTGGAATTTGACTTGGTTATACGACAGAACATAACTAAAAGATTATGGGAGAAGGTGCCCACTTTTGCGAGGAGCTCCCTTCAAGCTGATCACTGCTAAGAAAATCCTGTTGACAGTCCTAAGCAAATATTTTAGCGGTGGAAAGACATAGCAAAGTGGAACACCAGGACATGTTGAAAAAAGGTCCTGCTACACCTAAAGTGATGGCGGCAACAAGGAAGACAGGTGCAGCTTTACAGAAAAGGTCTTTAGAAATGGACATGTTTCCTAAAACTAAACCCCTTCCACTATACCATCAGGACCCCCCAGAGACAATGCTTTGCCCTCCTCTGAGTCCTGAGCCTGACGGTAATGCTACCGCTACTGACTTGTCACTGACCCAAATTATGGACGCTATTCGCTAGTGCCAAACTGCGCTCACATCACAAATTGAAATGATCAGGATTGCCCTATTGTTGTTTGAATCACAGTTTACAAAAACAACAGAGAATCAGTGACCTAGAAGATACACCCTGGGGGACCATGAGGCAATAACTGACAAGGTTCGCTGGATTTTGATATCCTTATTTCTGAGCCTACCCTAAGAGGATGTTTCTGGACCCTAAGTATGAATCCATCTGGTTCAGGCCTATCTTTCCTTCCCTTTGACCCTTTTCTGATCTTCCTGCTCCCCCCACCCCTCCCTACAAGGGTTGTTGTGCGATACTATAGGAAGTATAATATGAAATTGTTTCCCGGCTTGGCTGTTATGTTAATGATTATTCCTTCATTTATGTATAATATGTTTGCAATGAATCCCACATATATCTTCATGTGTATTTAAACCAAGAAACCTTGTGTCTTCTCTATGTTCTTGCTGTGATTCCTTTTGTTTGCATTGTTTTGTTTTATTTGCTTTACCTTTTCTTAAATAAACAATAAAAAAAACACCTGTTAAAGCATTATTTGCAACCCCCCTTCCAAGGCCACACTTTGGAAAAATTCTCCATATCAAAAACAGTGAACCCTATCTCCCACTATCCAGATTTCTCAACTAGTACATAGAAAAAAGAGCAGCTTAGTTGAAAAAAAACAAACATGTTTGAATCTAACCTGAAATATAGCTTGCTATATCCAGCAAATTCTTTAATTGACAAAGGTAACATTCACTTTTTCTACACCAGCTGAAGCTGATCAATAGCTGGAACACAGAGGTATGAGAGACAGTGACTGCTGTAGTGCTCACACCTCACAGTGACAATTTTTTTAAATTTTCCTGTCTGCTATAAGCAGTGTGTCCATTTGGCAATTCTGCTCCTGATCTATTCTTATATAGAAAAGCTGGTGTAAGTTGATCCTACTTGCCCTTTCTACTGATGATCCTTGCTAGATGTCAATTTGGACCTAGTACCACATAGAACGTTTACCTGTGTCCTCTTGGCAACTGTCAACTCTCTTAAATCTATATATCCTGACTACTCTGAAATGACCCCAAGTTTACATTCAATGTTTGTGCAGGAGATGAAAAGCTGGGGGCAGGGAGATGAGTATATGGGTTATCTGTTGTTCATGTTTTACCCCCAGTTTATATTTCAGCCTGTTATGGGTCTTAAAAGCAAAGCAAGTTAGGGTACTACACAGAGAGGGCTTGGTACTCTTTTTGGGTTGTTCCTGGTTCTGTTTTCTTTATTTGAATGCTTTACAGGCATCTTAAGCACTGTGTATGCTATATGGTGGTCTCACAGCTTTTTCTTCATGATCGTTGGGTCTTTCTGCCTACTCCCACTACAGAAGTTGTAAACCTAACAACTAGGGATGCACTGATACCATTTTTTCCTGACAGAGTACCGATACTTTTCCTTAAGTACTCACCGATACCAATACCTTTTCTTTTTTTTGTGTCATGTGACAGTTTTCCTAAAACAATACAGACTAATGATTTTAGGACAGTGGTGAAGTGCCAGGGCCCAGTGTCCCAGCTGCAAATGCTGTGCCCCTTGCCAGTTCTGCTACTGACTCCAAGCTGTAGAGTGACTCCAAATCTCAGCAATACATTATACAGCAATGCAGAATATCATCAGCTATAGAGGACTACAAATCCCAGCGATACATTATACAGCAATGCCGAATGGCATCAGCTATAGAGGACTACAAATCACAGCAATACTTTATACAGCAATGACAGGTAATTTTTTAACGGTGGGTGTACCTTTTAGCCTTCTCCCACCTCAGCCCCAGCACTTTCAGCAAAGATTATACTTACCTACAACTCTGCTCTCACTACATCTATGCTGTGCAGCATACCCAGCACCAAACAGCCTCTGCTCAATGAACTGAACAGAGATTGTGGCATACTCGCATGGGTACAGCTCTGAAGATCTCAGGCAGAAGCTCCATGCAGGCCACACAGTACACATCTTAGAATTGTTGACTTGTAGGCAAGTATAATCTATACTAAAAGAAGTGTAGCTTTTTTTAATGTCTTTTAGTCTTAGTCTGGGAGCTGGCAGCGGTGAATGTGGAGTATAGGTTAGTGTTTGGGGTGGGAGGCATGGAAAGGTAGCGGGACGTTTTTTTACCTTAACCACTTGCTCTCACTCCGACGTCCGCGGTAATATGCAGCACAATGGGTGCAATCATCGTTTTCGCACATAGGCGCACCAGACGCGTGCGTGTGTGTGTGTAGGGGTGGCAGATTTTGAAAAAAAAATTTCAGACACCTTAAAATCAGGAGGAGGAGTGAATTGAGGGGGTTTTGGAGAACACATGGAAACAAATTATTTCTTGATAACCTGCTAGTTCTTGAAAAGTTCTGGCCACTGCAGGATTGTAGGGAATTTTCTAGTTGGGTGCATTTAGAGCTAAAATGTACCAAAACAAGAACCAAGTGGATGTCTCAACTAGGAATGATGCTGGTAGCAATAGGGGGGAGCAGATTGTTTATGCAGGGCAGGCAATCAAAAAAAAATAAAGAACCTTTCCTTTTGTCCTCTTTGCTTTTTCTATATATTGTTTATGGCAAAACAAATCTATAACCATAAATAATATCCATAATGATACTTGATACCCACCAGGATGATGCCAGATTCAGTGAGTTTTATAATGCCAATTTAAAATAGCAAAATTGTTGTGTTACAAAAACATTTGGTTAGTAAACTAGGAAAGAGTCACAGGGAGCTGTATCTCTTCTGCCTAATAGTTTCTGGTAACAAGCTAGTTAACAATCCCATATAATGTCACCCCACTGATTAGACACTTACAGGAACCAGTCCACAGCGATAATGAGCGTTATATCCTCTGTGGGAAGTCCCACCGATGTCAACACTATAACCATGGTAACTAGGCCAGCCTGAGGGATACCTGCTGCTCCTATGCTGGCAGCAGTAGCTGTGATGCTGTGAGGAGAAAAATGACAGAACATCAGATAACGTACGGAATATAAAGACATAAATCACCTACAATGTTTTGAAAGAGCAAAATGTACTCAGTCATTTTAACCAATTTCTGATTTAAAGGGGAAACAACAGTGGGGGGATTTATCAAAACTGGAGCAGTTGCCCACATGGCAACCAATCAGCTTCTGTCTTTTATTTTCAAAGCTTAACTGAACAAACTGAAGAGAGAAGCTGATTGGTTGCCAAGGGCATCTGCTCCAGATTCTGCCTGTTCCAGTTTGGATAAATTCCCCTCAATGTATTTTGAGAGTCCTTGTTTTGAATTATTGTATTTTACCAGGAAGTCATTTTTTGCTGTGACTATTTAGGAAGCTTGCTATTCAATAACTTATATTTATAACTGTATTTCATACACACATTTTTCTTATTGTCAATCTGTAAATTAGCGACATACAGTTATAATCCTAACTGAAGCAATGCTGTAATACGTACAATAAATAGCAATTTTGTTGTACAGCAAGGCAATATAAAAAAACAACAATGAGACAGAGTGAGACAGATTAACTACATGGTTACAGCTTGAGCCATGAATGTCTCCCACAGCTGCTGTAAAGTTACACTGTGACAGAATAAACTCGATCCTGACCACTTCTTAATTCTATTATTTACTCTGCAATAAGTTTTTACTTTAGAATATGAATATATATATATATTTGTTTTGTTTTTTTGGGGGGGACAAATTTTGGCCTTCTTTTGACAAAAGCAAACAAAAATGTTTTTTTTCTATTTTGACCAATGTTAGTTTTGTGCACTTTCTATGTCCCATTTATAATGACGTTAAAATGATTTCTATCTATAGTACAAAGCATGGCAAAGTTATTTATAATGGAAATTACGTTTTGTTTTTTTCCTTTTTGCACATATTTTTTTTTGGACTAAATGAAAAAAAAAAAGCAAATGATAAAATATAAAGAAAAAAAGATGGCTGTAAAAATTACAAAGCCACAATGCTGTCAGCAGGACAGAGCATTAAGGGCAAAACATCCCCAGCCGCATATACTGATCTTCTTTTTCCCAATGCTCCATTTAGCGCCAAAAGCCATTAGGAAATACCCCATAATACTTTCAGAAATGATGAAGCAGGAACAGGTACTCCATAGCCCTGTGTATGCACCAACTCCAGTGACCCAAAGCTTTTACCGGGCTTTCCCTGCATTGAACATGGCAGGGTCGCAAAAGAAAGGTGAGCATATACTGCTGGAGAGGTCTGCATTAAAGTGAACCTGTTGTTTGCCCTGGATTTGCAAAGGACAGGTTCACTTTGAATTCACATAGGTTTTAAAAGTAAAACTTGTTCTAATACTTTTTAAACAAATATAAGATTGAGGGCATGTTTACACTAAGCTGCTTTTTTTCTGCACAAAACTGCACATGCATGGCATGAACAGAGCACAAGGAATTGTTTTCTTTGTGCCCTGTTCATCACCATACAAGGTGTGGTTGCAGGCCAATGTACAATGCTTAGCCCCATCTCCCATAATTTGTCATGCACCGATACTGGTTTCTCAATATCGAGAAAGAGTACCGATATTTATCTTTCGGTACTTGCCAATACCGGTACTTCCACTAGCACGGAGTCGGCATCCCAGGCAATCAAGAAGCCGGGCGTGTGTAGTGACACAGCCAATCAGCATTGAGGCGGCCAAACAGCATGGAGCCAGCTTCCCGGCCAATCAGGAAGCGGGATGGCGAGTCATTACCACCTGGCTTCCTGATTGGCCAGTAAGCCGGCTCCATGTTACCTCGCGGCACTGCCAGTCAGAGGAAATCTCCCTCTGACCAGAAGTTCCGCTATCCAGGGTATGTATCGCAGCATACTCGTACTCACCCAAATACTAGGTATCGGCACCGATACCAATATAGGTGTCAGTGCATCCCAGTCTGCAGATATATTTCCAGGCCTCTTTTTCTTTAATGCATCGGGATAGCTGGGTACCAGTAGGTTATAAAGCTCTAGGTGCTGCTCCACAGCTTGGACAAGTGCAGCCACATTTATTGAAGCCATAATGCCCAAGGACATCTTTTAGATATTTTGATTTATGGGAAGTTATTTAAATCATTCATAGTGTCTCCACATATCATACAATTCCCAGCAATGAGTTACAGTAACTCTTTCTCATATCTCACATGTGTAGTAAACAGCTACTAATCAGCAACCTAATTTAGATCGCCCAATCAAGTTGCGCCCCATGTACATTTGTTAAGTGTAGTGACCAATAAGACCATCAGAATGTGTACGTTTTTGGCTATAGAAAAGGAACAGCTTGGCACCTCATTGCTGGTCTATTTTGTGGGGAAGATTTAGCAATCAGCTAAAAAATAAATTGCTGTAAATTAATATTTCTCTGAAGATGAGGGATGTGTGTGGAGGTCTACCAGTTTACATAGACATGGAGATCATACCCCAGTGTGCCTAATGACTTGACTGGAAGCTATTAATCTCGAGTACCTTAGTGTGAGATGCAACAAACCACAAGTTCAGTAACATAGCATGAGACTAATGGCGAAAAGGAAGTATTGCGCATATTAATATTACAGCTCATCTGGACATTTTGCTGGTTCCTCATTTTTAGGTTGAGAAATGACACTAGGAAGAAAGGCATAAATCACTCTAGAAAGCCACCAGTTTTGTATTAGAATTTTTCAGACACAGCTGAACACAGCAGAGGGTTGTACCTTGTTAGCCATCAACAACAACAAAAAAAAATCAAAAAAAACTTTAACTTCAGATACAACTTGAAATTATCCAAACACTCAGAGAAATTTATCAAAACTGGAGCAATCAAAATCTGGAGCAGTTGCCCATGGCAACCAATCAGCTTCTCTCTTCAGTCTGTATAGTTAAGATTTGAAAATGAAAGAAGCCGATTGGTTGCCGTGCACAGCTGCTCCAGATTTTGTCTGCTCCCGTTTTGATACATTCCCCTCTCTGTGCACAAATAGACAGATAAAGAACATTCCACCGTAATTACCTGATTGTGATTATTTGCCCAAAGTTCAGGTCGTAATTGTTTACTTGTGCAATAAATATAGCAGCTAGTGCCTCGTATAGAGCTGTACCGTCCATATTAATGGTGGCTCCCACTGGCAGCACAAATCGAGTGACACGCTTGTCCACACCATTGTTCTCCTCCAAGCATTTGAAAGTAATGGGCAGAGTAGCAGAGCTAATTTCAAAAAGAAAAAAAAAAAAGAAAGAAGAATGAAAAACACATTTATTTTTTTCCCAGGCATTTTTAATTATCAATGTCTTACATGTACACTGTTTCCTTGGCAATCATTGCCCCCCATATAATGTGGCTGCTTTAGCGTGAAAAGTGAAATCATGTTTTCTGAGCCTGCCAGATCTGCGCACACTCCCTTTGTCTGCATCCTGACACATCCACTGTAAACCTTATTTGAAGTTCAAAGCAGAGCTCTGGGCAGAAGTGTTCTTAGCCCCGCACTGCAAGGGTTAACTGCTCATTTTTTTCTAGGTGCTAAAATGAAAAAGTTATAATCACCTGAACCTCGGAGCCATCTTACTCTTACATCGGTCCCTGGAGCCTTGCTCCCCCTCCGCTGCAGCTGTCTAAGGTCACGTGAGTTTTGACGTCCAATACACTGTGTATAGGATGGGAGGATGTTGAGGGACATTCCATCACTGCAGTGTAGCAGGAGAGAGGCTGGAGGGAGTGCTGTGACAGCCAGCCGGCTCAGCGGTTTGGATGAGTATAACTTTATTTTAACATCTATATAAAAATGAGCACTTAACCCTTGCAGTGCAGGAGTAGCCCCTCTGCAAAGGTTATGAACACTTTTGCCCGGAGTTCTGCTTTAAGACTGTGTGTAGATGATGATGGGGATTGAACATGATACATATTGCAGGTTATACATAACACAGATTAATACTACAGTTTTGGCTAAATAGCTAGATGGTGCAGCCCCATATGTTTGTGGATACCTTAAAGTAAATGTCTCATGAAGGAAAGGCAGAGGTTGTAATTTCTGACCTCTACTTTAGACTATGCTAGTCAGGGGCGGACTGGGCCGGGGGGCAGGGTGGCAATTGCCCCCGGCCTCTCTGATGCCACTGCGAACTGCCCCTGGACCCCCGCTGCCACTTGCACCCGGCCGCCCGCCGCATCCGATGCGGCTCTGTGATCGGCGTGGCCGCTGCTCGTCAAGGAGGTGCTCAGGAGGCCCCAGTAGGGGGCCCTCTAACATGCCGCGTCTACCTGGTACAGTCAGCCCGGATCGCCACGGTATGTGATCCGGGAGCATAAAACAAACGTTTTTTTTAATATTCACCCGATTCCTGCATCCTCCAAAAGTGCGCCCTCCCGTCTCCCACGCTGTTAGAAGCTGCATACAGCGTGTGCTGGTACAGCACAATTTCACTATATTGCACACCTTACATTTTTTCTCTTATTTCCACCGCTCCAAACTTGCTCCTGTGATGGACTACAATCTCAATACACTACTAGTAGTCCCATCACTGGAGCCATTTGTTTTGGAGTGAGAGCCCGCACTGGCCACCTGGCGGTCCGCATTGGCCACCTGAGAGCCTAATTAGGGAGCCACCTCTGCTGCACACACACGCACCCGTGAAACTCTCTGGACCCCTGGTGAGAGCCCGCACAGCCCACCTGAGACCCTTTAGACATCAGACAGAGAACCCAGAGCATCAGAGTATGTAGCTTCATATTATTCTGCATTGCTGTGTAATGTATTGCTGGGATTTGTAGTCCTCTATAGCTGATGCTGTTCTGCATTGCTGTATAATGGTATTGCTGGGAATTGTAGTTCTCTATAGCTGATGGTATTCTGCATTGTTGTATAATGTATTGCCTGGAATTGTAGTTCTCTATAGCCAATGGCATTCTGCAATGCTGTACAGTGTATTTCTGAGTTAGTGGTAGTACTACCAGGGTCGCAGCAGTCATGCACGCGCACAGCCCTGACGAGGCATCCCTCCACTACCAGTGTACTTTACATTTCCTAAACCGATAAATACATTCACACTACTGTTACATGGATGGCAAAAGGGGCAGACGGGCGGGGAGAATGCGGGGATGTGGAAGAGCGGGAGGGGGGCCAAGTTGCTGCACCATGGGCCTCTGGGTTGTACTTGTCCCCTGGGCTAAAAGTTGCCAGTCAGCCCCTGATGCTAGTTGTCTGATGGTACTTTGAGTCACTGACCCAGAACAGGCTAACTTCTTTTTTACTTTACTGATCTTTATACTTGTCTTGGGTAGAAGACTAATAAAGTATGAAAGACAGAGGATCAGCATAACAACCAGATAAGCAGCTTTTTCAGAAGGAGCTCAGCAATGCAGCTCCCATATTTCTCTCATGACAGGTTTACATTTAAAGGAGAACTATGAGGTGAGTTTGTGTCCTCCCATTACCCTTAGGAGAACTATGGGGAAAAGCCCTGACCCCATAGTTTGCCTTTAAGAGAATGTATCTTGACCTTAAAACGTCTCCAAGATGACAACAGTACTGAAGTGTTGCCACATTGTGATGCCTAGAAATACCTTTGTTAGTCTTCAAATCAAACACTAGGCCATTGGATCCGAGGCTCAAGCTGTAGGCCTAAGATCCAAGGATATTTCACAGGGATCAATTTAAACACTAACGCAGGTACTTTCAGGCACAACAAGATTCAAGTCTGAATACATTTGCCTCTTAGGGAACTTCACACCAGATGCAGTGCGTTCCGATTCTGCATCGCATTGCGTCCGGCTCACTTTTCGGTGGTGCAGGAGGGGGCGTGGTGGGCCATTGAAGTGAATGGCACCGTAGCCACGCCTTCCGGCAGCAATGGGATCGCAAGGAACATTGTGCCTGCGGTCCGGTGCGATCAAAATAGTGCTTGCATTGTTTATACCATAGTTCAGCTTTAATAAAAAAAAAATGCAAAACAACAACAAATAGAAAAGCAATGTTAGGAGAACAAATAATTATGATACGTTTATCAGGTTACTTACTACCATATGAACCTGTGTTCTGTTTGCTGTAAGCTTGTTGAGGTGCAAATTAATTCTAGCTTGTACCTTAAAACATTCACTGACTAAATATAATGTATCAATACTGATTTTGTTGCTGGTTTTTTGTCATGCAGTACATGCAGTAAATATTTTTGGTTGCCAGAATACTAGCTGCATTCACGTAATAAGAATATACAGGTATGTTTGTAAAACAGCTCCTTTTGATTTGTAGCAAATAAGTGAATTTCTCATGGACATCTGCTTTTCTTACGTAACCATTTCCCTACTGTTTCTTACCTTGATGATGTCCCCAAAGCGGTGACAAGGGCTTGAAGAAGCCCACCAATGAATGGCCATGGGTTCCTCCGAGTAACAACGAAGAACAACAATGGGAGTACAATCAAAGCATGTATGAGGAGTCCTATTACAACTGTTATGGTGTACATGCCTAGCTGTCCTCCCATAACCAGCAAGTCATCCATTTCCAGGATCTTTCCAGATATCAAGAACATTATACCAATTGGAGCATACCTAGGAAAATATGCAAGTTAGAGTTATGTCCATGATAGAGAGAACAGCAAAGCCAAAATACATAGTGCAAAGAAAAATATTGCTATTGTAGCCCTGTTGTGATTTCAGCTCCTTTAAGAGAAAAGATATTGCAGGTGGAGCCAGAGAGCACAGGTTGTGGAGACTGTATACAGAGCTGATTTGGATACGTTTGCTGAAAGGATTTTTGAGAACTGCATTACCCAGGAGGCTTATGGGTTGCAACTGCAGAGCAGCCTCAGTCTGGGACAGCCATCTGAAGAGGACAGACCTGTGTAACCCTGTGTGGGTTAAGACTGTGTGAAACAAAGCTGTGTGGTCACCGCTGACATATAGGGACACACAGGCTCTGTGCAGCCGTCTATAGAGAGACTGATCTGAGTTGCTGAATCGGAGAGGACCCGATCGAGTGCCTGAAGTGAGGTCCGGTGACTTGGTTAACGCAAAGGACATCGAGGCCTAGTCGCACTGCCGAACCAGCCACTGGGGTGATCCAGCCATCCAGAGGGAGACGACTGCCAGTATCCTGAGTGAGTGAAAACTTCTTACAAGGGACCCAGATGACTTCACCTTCCTCCCAGAGTCGACTAGAGAGAGAGAGGACACCCAGCTTCCACCAGCAGACTTCATCTCTTCCCATTTGATCTGAGGAGTGGTGAGAGGCCTTTGGCCGCAGTGACACCCTGTTTATTGTTCACATCTGCTATACAGCAAGGGCCCCAACGTTGGCTAGCCTAGGACAATACTACTGGCCAGTAGTTTAGCGGGGGGATAGATACTTTTAAGTAAAGATATTAATGTTGATTGCATTCAATCTAAGTATATTATCTGAGACATTCTGACATTGCAGGCTTTCCTGCATGCAATAGATTGCTGCTGCGTGTCAGATTGCCTTATCCTGTTATTGGTTGTATTACATGTGATTGGGGAGCCGTTAAGTGTTTGTTCTATTCCATAGTCATTAAATCTGTTATAAAACTTCACAAGGTGTGCTGGTGTGCTGTGGGTTCATTGCTTATGGTGTGTCACAGAGGTGAAACAGAAGACCCGATCATCCAGCGGCTCCTTCGGGGGTGAGCGCTACACTATTCTTTTAGTGGGTTTCTATTATTATTGTCAATAAAAATATTGCAATTCTTTTAGTGGGTTCCTATTATTATTGTCAATATTAAGTGATCTTATTCTTACCATATGATAATTGCCACGAGCCTCATGATGGCTTCATTAAGGCAATCAAAGAACTCCTTGAGAGCCCTTCCTTTTTCCTTCATGTTTCCAATCACAAGTCCAAAGCACATGGAGAAGACCACCAAGCCCAAGGCATTTACTCCATTTGCTGAGCCTGCCACAGGTACCACCTCTTCCAGGTCTATCATCTGCTGCAGTTGTTCCATGGCACGGGTTACATTGTCCACAATGCCACTGATGTTAATGGCTTCTGGGGTCGGCTCTATCACTGCTGTCATGTTCGGATCAGATGGGACAGGCACTTTGTAAACCCGTGTGTTGTAGTGTGTTTTGTACTAAAACAAGAAACATATACATTTATTATCAATACTAAATGCTAAATTAGTCTTTATTACTTTTAAACAGTTTGCTCTCGTTTTGTATTATTTAATATTTAACCAGTTGACATCCGCGGTGTTACACCCCCTTCCCATCCAGGCCATTTTTCAGTATTCAGCGCTGCGGTACTTTGACTGACATTTATTCCGTCATGCAGCGCTGTACTGAAATGAATTTTATACCCTTTTTTGGGGACAGATAGAGCTTTCTTTTGGTGGTATTTATCCACCACTGGGGTTTTTATTTTTTTACTATATTAAGGAAAAATCACCGAAATTTAAAAAAAAAAACAGTTTCCCCTATATTAAATGATAAAACATTTATTATTACCCAATTTTTTGGTAAAATATAAAAGACGGGGTCACGTCGGGTAAAAAGACACCAAACATGTCAAGCCTTAAAATTGCGTGCGCGCGCAAAACCTCAAAAAACGATAATACCCAAAATTGGCCATAGGCGACGCTTTAAAAGCTGTTACCGCTCATCAGTTTAGTGTTATCAGTGATTGATGGCCCTAAAATGATT